TAACCATTGTGCTATAAGCATCAGTAGGTACTGTAAGGAAGGTTAAGATTGACTCTATTGGTCTTGGGCTCACCGTTTCTCTATATCAGTAATCAATATGATTGCGTGAAGGGAGAGGAAGCATCTCCTAATGCTCCACGTATCATCAGACAAAACAGCCTACATTACCCTGTCTCGGACAGGACTGGATCATCAGACTTAACAGCCTTCATTACCCTGTCTCAGACAGGACTGGATCATCAGATAGAACAGCCTCCATTACCCTGTCTCAGACAGGACTGGGTCATCAGACAGAACAGCCTCCATTACCCTGTCTCAGACAGAACAGCCTTCATTACCCTGTTTCAGACAGGACTGGATCATCAGACAGAACAGCCTCCATTACCCTGTTTCAGATAGGACTGGATCATCAGACAGAACAGCCTCCATTACCCTGTTTCAGACAGGACTGGATCATCAGACAGAACAGCCTTAATTACCCTGTCTCAAACAGGAATGGATCATCAGACAGAACAGCTTCCATTACCCAGGCTCAGACAGGACTGGATCATCAGACAGAACAGCCTCCATTACCCTGTCTCAGACAGGACTGGACCATCAGACAGAACAACCTTCATTACCCTGTCTCAGGCAGAACTGGATCAGAGTCACTGTCATATTTCACTGTGCCGTTGTCATTGGTTACAGGGCTGCCATACAGTATCAGTGTGCTATGTAAAGGAGGATGGAGATGTCTGCTAAGGATCTAAGGGTTGTTGTCTTGTCAGCATCTTATTGCTATGCACATGCCAAACCCTCCTGTACCCCAGGGAACTCAAGGAGTTAAAAACACCATAGAAATAATGCTGCATGAGGATGAGCTTGGATTTCATTTGAGGTGTGGCCTCACTATCTATTGCAGTGCCAACATATGACATCATCATATATAGGCTAATATTTTTTGTACTTTATTTTACAGTACTGTTTCCACTGGTATTTACCTGGAGTTTATGTGCTAAAAATAGGTATTTTCATGTAATTACTTCATAAAAAGAATGAATCATAACTGGAATTAAAAATCTGAATGAATCAGATGAACAATTAAAGGTGTAGCCTCACACTTGATTCTGTCACAAAATAGGATAAAACAAATTTTTCAAAGGACTCTAGCTAGGTAGTGGAGACACAGGTCGTCTGGTCGAGTGGGCTCTGATTGACAGTAATAGTGTAGATCTGGACACAGTGTAACTGTTTCATTCATTCATTTCAGGGGGAGGATTGTAGCTACAGTACTAATATGATATGGACAGACAGGCAGGCCAGCCAAGCTGAGGCTGAGCCCATGGCCACGCATGTGCGACAGGGAGACTCATAAGCTGCAGTCAGCGTCCTGAGAGGTGAACCAGGGGGAGGCAGCTAAGCGGGCGCGCGAGCACCGGTTGTCATTGGAACACATTGAATAACCATTTGGACGGAGGCTTGCCAAGGTTTAGTGGGAGTCTTTGTAGCGTTGCTGTCCAGACGGGCTGCAGCCAAATCAGTGCTGTCAGGTGCAGTGCTGTTTGAAAATAATACATGAGGAAATGAAAGTCCCAGATAAATAGATGGATGGATGGATCAATAGATCGATAGATACGAATTTGGAGGGAACAAATGAACAGATGGATGTATAGAGATGAGTGTTTTTGTCTGCTATGGTGCTCAGTTGGGATAGGTTGGTTGTAGTGGTTGTACAGTGTGTGTGTGTGTGTGTGTATGAGTGTGTCCTGCCCAAGCCTGCTCTGAGCCCTGCACTGCAGCTGGACAGAAGTGAACAGCGACAGCTGGCTGGGAAAACATGATTAGTGTTTGAATTAAAAGGAAATTAAGGGATTTATTATAATCTTATCCAGATTTGGTTAATTCCCCCCATGCCTCTCAGTCACACCCTTCTGTCACATCTGGACGGTTTCCAACATTTTTTACCGGCGTCATACCCTGTTCCCCTGTGCCCCCCTCACCTCCCCTCACCTCATCTGCCGGCCATCCCCATGTAACCCCCCCCCACAAACACACACACACACACACACACACACAGGGCTGTGCACAGACCTTTCAGGGGGCAGCTGCTCAAAATGAAAAAAGGGTGCATAAGCCTATATATTTCTGCAACAACATACTTATTCATCACAAATTGTAAGCAAGCTAGTTACAGTACCTCCTAAAGATATGATTGGGGGAAAGAGGGTGGGCTGTCAGCTGATCATTGATGTTGATGATTGATGTAAATCTGCTAGTTAGCTAGCTAGACTTTTTTTTGTTTTTACTGATTGTGATTTATCTTCAATGCTCTTAAATTCTTAAATAATAACTTCATAATATAATATAATTAATCTTCTAACTCATGATATATGGCTGTCTGGCTAGTGGCTTGTGTGGATATTTTAGTATATGTTGGTTAGCTAGAGTCTAGACTACCTGTGTTGCTGCTGCCCTGACACACAACTGCAACTCCCGACTGAGGAAGGGATGGAGTTGGGTTGGAGGGTCGTTGATGCATCTGCTCCTCTTTATGTGTTCCTCCCTCTCTCTGCTGCGCGGATCAGCCAACCAGACCCAATATTCATAATGATGGAAATCAAGTGTTATCAAGTGTTAATCAAATGTTAATGCTGCTGTGTGGCACTACTGTTGATATTTAAACTATTTAGCTAGCTACACTCATTCGACGGCAGACAGCATCTCAAGCCATACATGTCTGGATACCGGGCATGTGCAATTTACATACAGGGCAGACTGGGAAACAGGCGAAAAACCCGGGGCACGCGCAAGCGCTGGACAGGGCAGACCAACAGGCGCAACCAATGGACGGGGTGGGGGTGGGGGTGGGGGTGGGGGGGGTGAACTTGATGACTTCACAACGACTTGCTGCAGTGGGTTCAGAACAACATCGACAAAAACTGTATTCAAAAATATATATTATACCACCACTCAAAAGGGCACATGGCGAGTGGGAGGGCAAAGGGACATGTAAACCCCTATCTGTGCACATGCCTGCACACACACACACATACATACACACGCACTGTATGCACCGTCCCCTGGTACTGATCTGTAAATGTGTGTTTATCTTGACCTCTGTGAGCCTACAGTACAGACTGTGTAAGCCTCTCTCTCTGTCGGGGACGTGGCCAGTCCAGGGCTCTCACAGTCACAGCAGAAAGAACTGTGTGCTACTTTGTCTCTGTCATAAAGCTGTGTGCTGCCCTGGCCTCACGGCCCCACGCTGCTTCCCTGGCCTCACGGCCCCACGCTGCTTCCCTGGCCTCACGCCCCCACGCTGCTTCCCTGGCCTCACGGCCCCACGCTGCTTCCCTGGCCTCACGCCCCCACGCTGCTTCCCTGGCCTCACGGCCCCACGCTGCTTCCCTGGCCTCACGGCCCCACGCTGCTTCCCTGGCCTCACGGCCCCACGCTGCTTCCCTGGCCTCACGGCCCCACGCTGCTTCCCTGGCCTCACGGCCCCACGCTTATCAGCCCTCTCCTCCTCGAACCCAACTCCCACTTCAGAGACAACACACCGCTCTGTGGCGGATTTAGGATTACACACACTGAGATTATCTTCCCCTTTCTTTTTGTTTGCTTGTTAAGGGACAAACAGATACTGGGATTACCCGCTTCAATCTCAGACTAGGATGATGTTTTTATTTTCAGACGGATCGTCTTGAAACCTTACGAGGTTTATAGTGCTATTATTGTAACATGCAATGTTTTTTTCAATCATTGATTAGCAAGCTAGGAAGTAACCTCTGTTGCTTATGATAAGCTATTTTGTTCCTGCTGTTGTGTTTGTCATTTTAGGTCCCTTGGCTGTGGCACTGGATTCAGTTCACTAGTTTAGTCCAGTACAGTGACAGAGCAGAAATAGTCCCCACTGTGGTCCTCAGGCTCCATCTCTCCACTACCTTACACACAGCTGCTCAATGGGACCTGTTGGCTGTGGGGGATGAATATATTTATTAAAGGCCTGGGTGTACCCACTGTCTATGGTGCTGTGGCACACTGTGCACTTCTAAAAACACACACACACATACTTCTAAAAGCATGTGAGGGGAGCTGCTGCTACAGTGTCCCTTTGTTCTCACTAGGCTTTAGGTTTGGGGAGAACATTGCTGCCCTGTATTTTCAAGACAAACAGGAAATGCCTAAATGTGTACGGTACATGGAAAACGTGCACACACAAGCACTGTCACAAGCATCTGTCAGTCCATACGCAGATTACACAAGCCATGTTGTGCTGACTAAGGGACGTTTGTTTGTGTCCACAGCTGGCCAGAGCCATAGAACTAGACTACAGATCTGAAGAAGAGGTCACGTCTTCTGTGTTGGATTTTAACAGTTTCCATTATCAGAGAAGTCACTCTGTGAAAATAAAGTAACAAAGCTCTGGAAAGATTAAGAGAAACTGGGGTGTAGCAGCTTGCATGCTGGATGATGAATGATGCCGATCAAAACGAGTGGGGCATGATGCTCTCGTCTTATGACTTCAGTATTCAGCCTTTTCTGCTCAAACCAGCTCTGATTGTATGTGTGCGTATTGAAATACCATGGTCCAGCATCAAAGGACTGTTATAACTCGAGCTGTAATATAAAGGGTGTGGTTCTCTTGTCTCAGACTCTGACCTGTTATATTGGAGTGTTGCACCGCGCTTGCACCTCCTTTGCCTGTGAGTCCTGTGTGAAAGAAGTGTCAGGTAGGAATACAAGAGCCGTGTACATCAGGGAAAAGCTTTTAAAAACTTAGCTCAAGTGATCCTTTAATGACGTCACTAGGGGGAGAGACGCTACGGAAATAAATGAGCGACCGAGAGTCTGTGCCACGAAAGCAATCATCCCGTAGCTGCAACGACCCCTCGACGCGTTTAAAGCAGTAATGTAATATCACAGGCCATAGGCTGCAACGTCACGCAGCCAAGACATGGAGAATGCATGCGTGCTCATTGTGTGTAGCGATAGAGGTTGGTGGAAGTAGATTGGAATCAATGGGGATCAATAGGAGTGGCTCCACATCGAAAAGCCCCAAGAACCTGGTAGTGTGTGAATAGTGAATACTGGAGGAAGACAGTGTGGGGGAGGTAGTGAGTGACTAGTAGCTTCCCTAGCTGCTCCGTCAGCAGCATCACCTCAGCCCCACAGCTCAATCAGATCACTAGAGAGAACACAGCCAGTGTTCCAGGGCTCTGTTCTGTGCTATAAGGAGAGGCCATTACTGCTGGTCAGCCCTGTGTCCAGTCTACTGTGGCTATGTCCTGCTCCTCCTCCGTCTCCTCCTCTACTGAGAGCTGCTAGTCTTTATGTAACATTTAATTGACTATAGCATTCACATCACCTTGTGAGGGGACATTTTCTAAGAAGAAATCATGTCCATAACTGCCGCTGTGAGAGGCATATCTTTGCAATGCCCTCTCCTGCACTCTGCTTTGACTGGTTCCCCTACCACAGGATCATAACATCTCCTCTGATACAGCATGCATGAGATGTTGGGAAATGAACAGCCTGATTGTCTTCCTAAGAGATCGAATTCTGATATACAGATACAATACAGGATACAGTATAGGAGATTGCAGATACAATACAGGATACAGTATAGGAGATTGCAGATACAATACAGGATACAGTATAGGAGATTGCAGATACAATACAGAATGCAACAGTTCTTGTGTCTTACTGACCCAATAGACCAGCCATTCAACAGGTGGACCGCGGTCCGGATCTGGACCCAGAACTGGGTCATTACGGACCGCGGGTCCTGACTTTATTTAGGAACTCAGTTGGGCCTCAATCCCTGGTGTCATATGATAACACATAAGACATGGCAAAATGTGTAGAATTGCAGGAAATTAGCTTTAAAACTGCAAAAGGATCTCTTCGCCAACAAGAGGGGTGTGAACAGTTTGGGGTTGCATGGGTTGCGGGGTGGGGGTTTGTTACTATGCCGATAAATGACAATATCCATCGGACCTTTGCCACTTAGGAATTTGTGTGACCAGACCTTCTCAAATAGTACTTGAGTACCCTGCAATAGATCATCAAAACATAGACGTAGTGCTGGATGCCAGACTTCAAGTTGTCATTTCCAGTGTGTTAGAACAGGTAGTGGTATGGGACAGTATGAGATGGTTGTGATATCCTAGACAATTAATTACCCAATGGTCCCAACATACACACAGTCTGTTCAAATGGAGTCTTACACAGGAAGCAGGCAATTATAACACCGCTGGTCTCTTTTCCTCACTCTTCACTCTCAGTCCTCACACCTACTGTAGCCATCATCCACCCCTCTTCCACCCATCCCTAGCGACACACACACACACACAACAACTGTTCCCATGGCATCCACTTACTAGCACCTAGCTGACTGATGATTTGTGATCTGCCAGCCTCACGCACACACACACACGCACTGAGGTAATGTTGTATCTCTTCATCTATCTTTGCAGGCGAACCCTCCCCCCGTCATCGTCAACGCAGACTCACTGGATGCAGGCCCTTATGTAAATATTTGTTCTGTTGTCTCTGTGTGTGGATGGAGTATCTGTTCTGTTGTCTCTCTGTGTGTGGATGGAGTATATATTCTGTTGTCTCTGTGTGTGGATGGAGTATATATTATGTTGTCTCTGTGTGTGGATGGAGTATATATTCAGTTGTCTCTGTGTGTGGATGGAGTATATATTCTGTTGTCTCTGTGTGTGGATGGAGTATCTAATCTGTTGTCTCTCTTTGTGTGGATGGAGTATCTAATCTGTTGTCTCTGTGTGTGGATGGAGTATATATTCTGTTGTCTCTGTGTGTGGATGGAGTATATATTCTGTTGTCTCTGTGTGTGGATGGAGTATCTAATCTGTTGTCTCTCTTTGTGTGGATGGAGTATATATTCTGTTGTCTCTGTGTGTGGATGGAGTATATATTATGTTGTCTCTGTGTGTGGATGAACTATCTATTCTGTTGTCTCTCTGTGTGTGGATGGAGTATCTATTCTGTTTTCTCTGTGTGTGGATGGAGTATCTATTCTGTTTTCTCTGTGTGTGGATGGAGTATCTATTCTGTTGTCTCTGTGTGTGGATGGAGTATCTATTCTGTTGTCTCTGTGTGGATGGATGAAGTATCTATTCTGTTGTCTCTGTGTGGATGGATGGAGTATCTATTCTGTTGTCTCTGTGTGGATGGATGGAGTATATATTCTGTTGTCTCTGTGTGGATGGATGTGCCTCACGGTCGCAGCATGTAAGATCACATCTACTCACCATGTGGACCTATTTCATTACCTCTATTGACACTGCCTCTACAGCATGAACATGATCCAGTTATGCATTTAGTATGGTAATGCAAGCGTTTGGAATAGTTTCTACTGTATTCCTGTAGGATTCATGGAATGAGAAAAGCCTAATGGTAATATTAATAGTAAACATTATCATATTTGTATATTCATTGTCAAACTCTGGATATAATAGCCAAAACCAGCAATGCTAATTGTTCGATGTATGTCTATGTTTAATTCTGTGGTTATTCAAAATGATTCTATTGAGATGAAAGATTAGTCGATTTTCTATGATCCTTTTCTGTTTTATATTATTTCTAGGATGTTTTCATGTGGGATGATGATACATGATGATGATGATGATGATGATGATGTAACTGACCTGTATGTGTTCTGTGTTGACAGGTAAATGGCAGTGATGGGATGTATAAATATGAAGAGATCATCTTGGAGAGGGTGAGTTTCACTAAAACCTTTATAACCGCTCATTAATTTAATGTCTTGCAATCAAATGTATTTTTTTCAAAGCCTTTTGTTAAACACTTGAGCTTTTCCCACTAGATGGCACTAAGAAGCTCTCTTTGGCTTTATTAAGGTTTCTCAGTACAGTAAATGTTGCTTATAATATATTATAGAAAAACCAAAGCAAATAATTTCTCTATCACATATGACATTTTTTATCTCTTATATATAGTAACTCTGTATATAAAAGTGGTAAAGATTAAGACATCAGTCTTTGTAACAGCAGGCCTATATCTGAATATATGCACAGATTCTACAATGAGGCATCGTTTTTATATAATAAAATCGAATCAAATGTATTTGTCACATGCGCCGAATACAACAGGTGTAGACTTTGCCGTGAAACACTTACTTACGAGCCCTTTCCCAACAATGCAGAGTTAAAGAGCGACTGCCTTTAAAAAGCAAATAATCCCTTTGAAAACGGACAATGTGGCATCGATATGAGTCCGAAACAGTTATTCTAGTGTCAGATTTGACTACAAAGTATAAATAGGATAATTTTGGTCATAAAGTCAGTCTCGTCTAAAACGGAGTTTGGAACATCTGTGCGTCAAAACGGGTAAATTAAGGTTGGGCTTTGATTTGACGATGTCCATTTGCTCTATCCAATAGCAGTGAGACAGACCTGCCCAGCAGCTCCGACTTTGTTTAAATAAGACAAAACGTCACGCATTTTTTATATTGAGAAATACTGCACCAAGCACCTTAGTTAGCTGTAAAATTGCGCAACTAAAACATCCTAGGCAAAAACGTCTCAATGATTTACAGCTTTCTGGAGTTACAGTGGCTTGCGAAAGTATTCACCCCCCTTGGCATTTTTCCTATTTTGTTGCCTTACAACCTGGAATTAAAATTGATTTTGGGGGGATTTGTATCATTTGATTTACACAACATGCCTACCACTTTGAAGATGCAAAAGTACAAGAAGTAAGACAAAAAAAAAAGAAAACTTGAGCGTGCATAACTATTCACCAAAGCCACCTTTTGCAGCAATTACAGCTGCAAGTATCTTGGTGTATGTCTCTAAAAGCTTGGCACATTGAGCCACTGGGATTTTTGCCCATTCTTCAAGGCAAAACTGCTCCAGCTCCTTCAAGTTGGATGGGTTCCACTGGTGTACAGCAATCTTTAAGTCATACCACAGATTCTCAATTGGATTGAGGTCTGGGCTTTGACTAGGCCATTCCAAGACATTTAAATGTTTCCCCTTAAACCACTCGAGTGTTGCTGTAGCAGTATGCTTAGGGTCATTGTCCTGCTGGAAGGTGAACCTCCGACCCAGTCTCAAATCTCTGGAAGACTGAAACAGGTTTCCCTCAAGAATTTCCCTGTATTTAGCGCCATCCATCATTCCTTCAATTCTGATCAGTTTCCCAGTCCCTGCCGATGAAAAACATCCCCACAACATGATGCTGCCACCACCATGCTTCACTGTGGGGATGGTGTTACTCTTGAGTGGCGCAGTGGTCTAAGGCACTGCATCGCAGTGCTAACTGTGCCACTAGAGATCCTGGTTCGAATCCAAGCTCTGTCGCACCTGGCCGCGACCGGGAGACTCATGGGCGGCGCACAATTGGCCCAGCGTCGTCCAGGGTAGGGGAGGGAATGGCCGGCAGGGATGTAGCTCAGTTGATAGAGCATGGCGTTTGCAACGCCAGGGTTGTGGGTTCGATTCCCACGGGGGGCCAGTATAAAAAAAAAAAAAATGTATTCACTAACTGTAAGTCGCTCTGGATAAGAGCGTCTGCTAAATGACTAAAATGTAAATGTAAAAAATGTGTTCTTGGGGTGATGAGAGGTGTTGGGTTTGCGCCAGACATAGCGTTTTCCTTGTAGAATTGTTTATTTTTTTCTCTAAGCAATGGCTTTTTTCTGGCCACTCTTCCGTAAAGCCCAGCTCTGTGGAGTGTACGGCTTAAAGTACTCCAATCTCCGCTCTGGAGCTTTGCAGCTCCTTCAGGGTTATCTTTGGTCTCTTTGTTGCCTCTCTGATTAATGCCCTCCTTGCCTGGTCCGTGAGTTTTGGTGGGTGGCCCTCTCTTGGCAGGCAGGTTTGTTGTGGTGCCATATTCTTTCCATTTTTTTATAATGGATTTAAATGGTGTTTCGTGGGATGTTCAACGTTTCGGATATTTTTTTAGAACCCAACCCTGATCTGTACTTCTCCACAACTTTGTCCCTAACCTGTTTGGAGAGCTCCTTGGTCTTCATGGTGCCGCTTGCTTGGTGGTGCCCCTTGCTTAGGGGTGTTGCAGACTCTGGGGCCTTTCAGAACAGGTGTATATATGCTGAGATCATGTGACACTTAGATTGCACACAGGTGGACTTTATTTACATTTTACATTTTAGTCATTTAGCAGACGCTGTTATCCAGAGCGACATACAGTTAGTGAGTGCATACATTTTTTTTTTCTCCATACTGGTCCTCCGTGGGAAACGAACCCACAACCCTGGCGTTGCAAACGCCATGCTCTACCAACTGAGCTACACGCCACTATTTAACTAATTATGTGACTTCTGAAGGTAATTGGTTGCACCAGATCTTATTTAGGGGCTTCATAGCAAAGGGGGTGAATACATATGCTCACACCACTTTTCCGTTATTTTAGAATTTTTCTAAACAAGTTATTTTTTTTGATTCCACTTCACCAATTTGGACTATTTTGTGTATGTCCATTACATGAAATCCAAATAAAAATCAATTTAAATGACAGGTTGTAATGCAACAAAATAGGAAAAATGCCAAGGGGGATGAATACTTTTGCAAGGCACTGTATCTTAGACTCATTCTGGGGATTTTGAGGAAGTGAAATAGGCTTCTACAGTGTCTCATGGGGGACCAACATCATTAACCAAACGCGGAATCGGTCATGAAACACACCTCCAAGACTGAAATCTCTTTTTTCTAATGAGCAACAGAAAAACACATGTGCCAATCGGCGTGTTTTCCAGCTCTTTAAAATGTATATATATATTTTTTAATAAATAAAAGGAAATAGTAACACAAGAAAATAACAATAACGAGGCTATATACAATTAGAACCGGTACCGAGTCAATGTGCAGGGGTGCGAGGCAGTTGTGGTAATTGAGGTAAAATGTACATGTAGGTACGGGTAAAAGTGACTAGGCAATGAGGATAGATAATAAGTAGCAGCAGCATATGCACATTGTCATCGTCAGGCCTCTATAGGCCTCATACTGCACATATTAAATAGTTCAGAAGTAAACGCCATATCTCCGTACACACACACTCTCAGGACCCTTGACAGTGGTACTTATCAGTGGCAGAGTTCAGTTTATAGTGGAGCGCAGACGTACTGTATGTTCCTGCTCTTGTTATTCCACCCACAGATAGATGCAGGGCTGCTTTCTCCATCTTCCTCTCTGAGTGGCGTTTCTGCATGCAGAGGCTTAAATAAACTAGATAAAATCACACTTGAAAAGGTCTGTGGGTGTGGAACATTTGGTGGTCGGGCCCAGTGCACTCCTTTTGGCTCAGGAGCAGCGCACTGGGAGGCCTCAGCCTTGCTCTGTCCTAATTGGTTGCGACCGTTTCTCATTAATTATAGAAAATAATAAAGTGAAGTATTTTCTCAGCTGTCTTGTTTGGAGCCTGTCTCTGCAGCCATGGCTGTCAGATAGAACAGCACGCCTGGGCCCACTGTTTCCAGATGGGTGCTTTGTCATTCTGGGGGAGAGGTGGGGGAAAGGGGGTGCATATAGAGAAAAGAAAGGGAAGTTGTGTACCATGCAAGTCTTTAGAGAAATGAAGCTTCTCTTGTCTTTCACTTATGAATCAGTCCTTTTTCTTTAACAATTACACCTACACCATTTGGACCGCTTCATCTTACATACATTTAGAATTAAGTGACTTGATCTTACTATGTAGTTTGTAGAATGAAGTAAATTCAATGTGAGGGAGATGCACACATGTATGAGAAAGTGCCGTGGTCATCAGTAATGTTGAATTCCCCTGAGCGCTATTCATAGATCACGTTCCCCTGAGACTTCAATACCATTAAGAAGAAGCACCTTATCCCCCTTGAGTCCACACACCTTGAGTGGGACGGGACCCATCACTCATGCAGTAGAGCTGTGTGTGCCTGCATGCACGTGTGCGTGCGTGAAAGTGTGCACAGCTGCACGCCAGAGGAGACTGGTGGGAGGAGCTATAGGAGGACGGGTTCACTGTAATGGCTGGAATGGAATAAATGGAACGGAGTCAAACGTGTGTTTTCCATATTTTTGATGTGTTTGATACTGTTCCATTTATTCCATTCCAGCCATCCAGGCTCTGTCATAGCCGGCCGCGACCGGGAGACCCATGGGGCGGCGCACAATTGGCCCAGCGTCGTTCAGGGTAGGGGAGGGAATGGCCGGCAGGGATGTAGCTCAGTTGGTAGAGCATGGCGTTTGCAACGCCAGGGTTGTGGGTTCGATTCCCACGGGGGGCCAGTATGAAGTAAAATAATGTATGCACTCACTAACTGTAAGTCGCTCTGGATAAGAGCGTCTGCTAAATGAGTAAAATGTAATTACAATGAGCCCTTCCTCCTATAGCTCCTCCCACCAGCCTCCTCTGCTGCACGCTCACGTGTGTTTGTGTGTGTGTGTGTGTCTATTGTATCTCTTCTATGTGTAATGCGTTATAACCACTCTGCAGGGTAACTCTGGCCTGGGCTTCAGCATCGCTGGGGGGATGGACAATCCACACATCCCAGATGACCCAGGCATCTTCATCACCAAGATTATCCCTGGAGGAGCTGCAGCTATGGACGGCAGGCTGGGGTGAGTTAGTCTCCCCCCCCCCCCCCCCCCCCCCCATCTCTATTTCTCTATCGCTCTCTCTTTCTCTCTCACGTCACCATTTCCCTCCCGCCTGACAGTCAGAGGTGTGTGTGAGGCAGTGCCTCTTCAGCCCTCTGCCCCCGGGCTCTGTCTGTTTCCACTAAGTGGTGATTCACTGGAAAACCAAAGCCTAAAACATGCAAATTATATATCTCGAGTGCTTTCGGTGTGCTGCCGGCCTCTGTGTTTGTGTTTGTTTGTTTTATGTGTGTTTGTGCATTTGACTAGCAGTTGACTAGTCTGACTAACAGTTGATTCTATCCATATTGTAGAGCCTGTGGATTGACATAAATTCCATAATTATGATTCAGCAGGCAAACAGATAAATCATCATATAGTGTATATACACTGAGTGTACAAAACATTAAGAATGCCTGCTCTCTCCATGACATAGACTGACCAGTGAAAGCTATGATCCCTTATTGATGTCACTTGTTAAATCCACTTCAATCAGTGTAGATGAAGGGGAGGAGACGGGTTAAAGAAGGATTTTTAAGCCTTGAGACATGGATTGTGTATGTGTGCCATTCAGAGGGTGAATGGGCAAGACAAAAGATTTAAGTGCCTTTGAACTCCGTATTAGGAAGGTGTTCTTAATGTTTTGTACACTCAGTGTATATTATGTATGTGTATATACAGTACTAACAGCATTGTAAAATATGAACGTTGTTTCCCCTCGTCTCCCCAGGGTGAATGACTGTGTGCTGCGTGTGAACGAGGTGGATGTGTCTGAGGTGGTCCACAGCCGGGCGGTGGAGGCCCTGAAAGAGGCTGGCCCTGTGGTCAGGCTGCTGGTCAGGAGAAGACAGGCCCCTCCTGAGACCATCCTGGAGATCAACCTGCTCAAGGGGCCCAAAGGTCAGCTATATACACTACATACAGTGACTTCGGAAAGTATTCAGACCCTTTGACTTTTTCCACATTATTCTAAAATTGATTTAAATAAAACAAATTATCATCAATCTACACACAATACCCCATAATGACAAAGCAAAAACAGATTTTTAGAATTAAAAACTGAAATATAACATTTACATAAGTATTCAGACCCTTTACTCAGTACTTTGTTGAAGCACCTTTGGCAGCGATTACAGCCTCGAGTCTACTTGGGTATGACGGTACATTCTTCTCTGCAGATCCTCTCAAGCTCTGTCAGGTTGGATGGGGAGCGTAGCTGCACAGCTATTTTCAGGTCTTTCCAGATATGTTAGATCGGGTTCAAGTCCGGGCTCTGGCTGGGCCACTCAAGAACATTCAGAGACTTGTCCCAAAGCCACTCCTGCGTTGTGTTGGCTGTGTGCTTAGGGTCGTTGTCCTGTTGGAAGGCCCCAGTGTGAGGTCCTGAGCGCTCTGGAGCAGGTTTTCACCAAGGATCTCTCTGTACATTGCTCCGTTAATCTTTCCCTTGATCCTGACTAGTCTCCCAGTCCCTCCCGCTGAAAAACATCCCCACAGCATGATGCTGCCACCACCATGCTTCACCGTAGGGATGGTGCCAGGTTTCCTCCAGACGTGATGCTTGGCATTCAGGCCAATGAGTTCAATCTTGGTTTCATCAGACCAGAGAATCTTGTTTCTCATGGTCTGACAGTCTTTAGGTGCCTTTTGGCAAACTCCAAGCGAGCTGTCATGTGCCTTTTACTGAGGAGTGGCTTCCGTCTAGCCACTCTACCATAAAGGCCTGAATGGTCGAGTGCTGCAGAGATGGTTGTCCTTCTGGAAGGTTCTCCCATCTCCACAGAGGAACTCTGGAGCTCTGTCAGTGTGACCATCGGATTCTTGGTCACCTCCCTGACCAAGGCCCTTCTCCCCCGATTGCTCAGCTCTAGGAAGAGTCTTGGTGGTTCCAAACTTCTTCCATTTAAGAATGATGGAGACCACTGTGTTCTTGGGGACCTTCAATACTGCAGAATTGTTTTGGTACCCTTCCCCAGATCTGTGCCTCGACACAATCCTGTCTCGGAGCACTGCGGACAATTCCTTCGACCTCATGGCTTGGTTTTTGCTCTGACATGCACTATCAACTGTGGGACCTTATATAGACAGGTGTGTGCCTTTCCAAATCATGTCCAATCAATTGAATTTACCACAGGTGGACTCCAATCAAGTTGTAGAAACATCTCTTATAAGAACCTGTTTTCGCTTTGTCTTTAAGGGGTATTGTGAGTAGATTGCGGAGGAAATGTTTTTATTTAATCCATTTTAGAATAAGGCTGTAACCTAACAAAATGTGGAAAAAGTCAAGGGGTCTGAATACTTTCCGAAGGCACTGTATATGAATGAATCCTCATTGTGAGGGCCAGGATTTTCTTGGCCCCTATAACTTAACTGTAATATATATAAGAATATGACTATGTATATATGAATAGTGTGTAAATAGTATTTTTGTTGTCTCTTGGTGTCTTTCCAATATATTTTATATAAAACATTTTATTTAGAATTTAATGTAATATCTTATGTTGTTCTTGTCTATAACTGTTCGGTACAGGAAGAGTAGCTGCTGTATGTGCAGTATCTAATGGGGATCCTAATTAACTAAACTAAATTCCCCTGGGCAATTCTAGGTCAACTCTGAAATTGGAACATACGTTTCGATTATTTTTGAGAATTTGAATTGTCCCCATTGAAAATGTTGTACAATTTTCTGTTCTTGACTGTCCTCTGTGTGGTTCTCACCCACAGGCCTTGGCTTCAGCATCGCTGGGGGGATCGGCAACCAGCACATCCCTGGAGACAACAGCATTTACATCACAAAGATCATTGAGGGCGGTGCCGCACAGAAAGACGGTCGGCTGCAGACCGGAGACCGCCTGCTAGCTGTAAGAACACATCTACTCTGCACTTCGTTCATTACCTGGGCTTACCCCTGCTTTGATGTAGCAGAGGTGGTTTGGTAAAGCCAGAGTGAATGCCTAGACTTAAGCTCAGTGGCCTAATACATTATTTAATTGTGCAGAAAACCCGGGTTCCATACCCAGTCAATTACACAGAAAGTGACCTACGATACTGAACTCTAATGGATGCCCAGAACACTCTTGATTCGCTTACTGTTTAGTGATCCATACCCTGCACACATCAGGACACTGCTACTTTGGTGGGTGCCTCTGTGCCCATCCCTGGACGTTTCTCAGGAGAGCCAGGCGAGGCGACTCGCATCAGCGTTTATGGCCCTGTGTGTGATTGATACGGTGCTGGAGACCGGGTTCAAACGGCCCAGCTGCTCCCCCGGCATATTCTGTTCCACACCGGCAAAAGATAAAGAGAACCACCTGCCAGTCTGAATGAGTGACTACGCTGTTAGAAAAATATGAGATGTGTTTAAGACTGCCATAAATAAGAACATAGCCATTAAGCACTGCTACCTTCGTGGGGGGAAGAGCTGTGAGTGACTACAGCTGCCCAACACAGTACACTTCTGGATGACCATATCATTTGTGCTACTTGATCAACATTTTTCCCCAAATCCATGCATTTTTCTGTAGACACAATGATGCAGACGTGGTGGCTCCTTAAATAAGTAACATCTCGCGACTGTACCTGTATGGAGCAGCTCTGTTCAAAACCTTTGTAATATTATCACATACTGTGTCTTAGTAGTACACAGTAACAGTAGTGTATGATTGATGTGTGTGTGGCTCAGGCAAACTAAAAGAGGGAGCTATAAGCCTCAGTGTTGTGAACATGAGGATTTGACTGTGGTCTGTGTGCTCCAGGTGAACAACATCATCCTGCAGGACGTGCGTCACGAGGAGGCGGTGGCGGCACTGAAGAACACCTCTGACATGGTCTACCTCAAGGTGGCCAAGCCCGGACCTGTGCACCTCAACGACATGTACGCCCCTCCGGACTACTCCAGCAGTACGTATCTTCTTCTGCTAGCTACTGTATTCCCCTATGGCTCAAACTAAACACTCCCCCTCCTCTCCTACTCTCATACTGCTCACAATGAATACAACTACAATTGAATGTAGTTGCCTCAATGGTACCGGCACACAGAGTTTGTTTTAATGGAAGACCACAGAAACCCTGCGGTAATAACACTGGTGCTCTCTTTCCACACTCCTCATTCTCAGTTTATACCTAAACCTCAAAACCCAACCCAGGCATCAGTTGTTTGAAGAATGTTCTGTTAATTAGCATTACCTTTAGGTCAGGGGTCAGCAAACCTTTATGACTGGAAGAGCAATTGTCTTTCACACCAAAAAAATTAAGTGTTGAGAAATTCGAGCCCTTTTCAAGCACAATAGCGGCAATATCTGATATTCAGCACCACGGATAGCAGTCAGATCAAATTACTATGAGATCTGGCAGTTCAGGGTCATAGAGCAGTGGACACAGCAGCTGGCTGGTGAAATTGCAGGGAGAATCAAATCTTGTGAACATACATTAAATATGCTACAGAAGTGGTGTTACTTTTTTTATTTTAAAACCTACCAACAAAGGAAATGTTGTTTTCCAGTGATTAATTGAAATACCCACATCAAGCCCCGCAAGATATTAAATAATGAAACACAGATACACAAATATTTTAATGCAACAGAAGGTTTGATTGTAATCAATATTTATTATACTGCTTTAACATAAGTGTTTGTTTATTTACTTTACTTTTATAAATGAGAAATTAGCCCATTCAGGCAGGCCTTGTCTGCACACTTTCAGCAACAGAAACTTAACCTGCAAAGTAAGATAACAAGGTTTTAACATGTATTTTCCTGTAGATTGTAGTTAGTCCCGATCTTTCCAGACCCATCTATTTCTGATTGAAAATACAAAAAAGATATATAGTTATTTGTTTGTTTGTTGAGGAAATCTATACATAGCCAGGGAGCCGCGGGTTGCTGAGGTACACAACCCTGTCCCTGCCACAGGGGATGTGTATGGGTTATCTCAGTGAGTGGTAGAGCTGTTTCAGTGTTCTCTCCTCAGCGTGGCTGTGCCCAGACTCCTACATGGTGCAGACACACTGCTGCCCACTGAAACATCAAGCCCAGCTCTCTCTCCCTCTCTCTCTCCCACTGAGTGTGGAGGCTATCTCACATCCCACACACCTGCTCAGGAGAACCCATGGCCTGGGGATCCTGCAAGCCACACACATCGATTTCCCGAAGAACCACACACACACACACTCACACACACACACACAATACCTGTACTGGACTATATGTAATTATTACAGGTATACTATATTGTACTAAACAATGTCAACCAGTGATTTATTATCAAAGGGCCTGTACAGTAGTACTGTATATGTTTGTTGTTGTTATGTATGTGTGGTTGCCATGACTTGAGCAAGCCCTTTATACTGACTTAAAGGAGTAGTTCACTATTTTACAACATGATGTTAGATGGTTCCTATAACGGTGGCTATAGTTAGCTGAAGTTTGTAGTGGTTGTTTAAAGAAAACCGAACCATGGATTACAATTTCTACTGGCCCATATACTACTTTCAGGTTGAGGAACCATCTAACATCATATTATAAACTACTGAACTACTCCTTTAAGCCAGCTCTGACAGTATGACCTATAGTCAGATGATCTACAGGGGATTTTAGAGCCATGGTCATAAGTACTCTAGCCCCCATGATGGAATGTAAATCTGGGGACTTTCTAGACTTTAGCTACTCAAAATCTCTGGTGTAGGACATATTGTGGTCTCACAGTAGCCTGCACACATCTATTATATCTCAGGTATAGAGAATACCCACACTGACTAATCTGTAAAGAGAATATTGTCTTTAATGGGGCATAGATTTTTTAACAGGCATCGTTACATATATGATAGTGTTGTGAGTTGATCCCTCCTGGCATGAGTGCTCCCAGGCCTCCAGCGGCCTCCAGTGGACCACTGTTTTAATCATCCTTCCTTTCCATCTACTGGTCTGGCCCTCCCTGCCCTCCCTCCAGCCTTCCCTGCCCTCCCTCCAGCCTTCCCCACCATGGTGGACAACCACATCAGCCACAACTCAGGCATGGCCTACATGGGAGCTATGGAGCCCAAGCCCGTGTACAGCCAGCCCCCCCAGGTCACGCCCTCCAGGTACTCCCCAGACCCCCGCCACATGCTGGGGGAGGAAGACTTCACCAGGTCAGTACCATTTTTTTTCCGTTTTTTTTTTTTATACCACGGCTAAGGGCTGTTCTTATGTACGACTCAACGTGGAGTGCCTGGACACAGCCCTTAGCCTTGGTATACTGGCCATATATCACAAACCCCCGAGGTGCCTTATTGCTATTATAAATTGCTATTAGAGCAGTACAAATACATGTTTTGTCATACCTGGTCTGATATACCATGGCTGTCAGCCAATCAGCATCCAGGGCTTGATTCAGGGCTCAAACCACCAAGTTTATAATATGTTTTTTACCATGTGAATGTACAGTACCAGTCAAAAGCTTGGACACACCTATTCATTCAAGGGTTTTTCTCTATTTCTACTATTTTCAACATTGTAGAATAATAGTGAAGACATCAAAACTATGAAATAACACATATGGAATCATGTAGTAACCAAAAAAAAGTGTTAAACAAAATATAATTTAGATTTTAGATTCTTCAAAGTAGCCACCCTTTGCCTTGATGACAGCTTTGCACACTCTTGGCATTCTCTCAACCAGCTTCACCTGGAATGCTTTTCCAACAGTCTTGAAGGAGTTCCCACATATGCTGAGCACTTGTTGGCTGTTTTTCCTTCACTCTGCAGTCCAACTCATCCCAAACCATCTCAATTGGGTTGAGGTCGGGTGATTGTGGAGGCCAGGTCATCTGATGCAGCACTCCATCACTCTCCTTCTTGGTTAAATAGCCCTTACACAGCCTGGAGGTGTGTTGGGTCATTGTCTTGTTGAAAAACAAATGATAGTCCCACTAAGTGCAAACCAGATGGGATGGCGTATCGCTGCAGAATGCGGTGGTAGCCATGCTGGTTAAGTGTGCCTTGAATTCTAAATAAATCACAGACAGTGTCACCGGCAAAGCACCATCACACCTCCTCCTCCATGCTTCACGGTGGGAACCACACATGCGGAGATCATCTGTTCACCTACTCTGCATCTCACAAAGACACAGTGGTTGGAACCAAAAATCTCAAATTTGAACTGATTAGACCAAAGGACAGATTTCCACCGGTCTAATGTCCATTGCTCTGTGTTCTTGGCCCAAGCAAGTCTCTTCTTCTGATTGCTGTCCTTTAGTAGTGGTTTCTTTGCAGAAATTCGACCATGAAGGCCTGATTTCACGCTGTCTCCTCTGAACAGTTGATGTTGAGATGTGTCTGTTACTTTAACTCTGTGAAGCATTTATTTGGGCTGCAATTTCTGAGGCTGGTAACTCTAATGAATTTATCCTCTGCAGCAGAGGTAACTCTGGGTCTTCCTTTCCTGTGGCGGTCCTCATGAGAGCCAATTTCATCATAGCGCTTGATGGTTTTTGCGACTGCACTTGAAGAAACGTTAAAAGTTCTTGAAATGGTCCATATTGACTGACCTTCATGTCTTAAAGTAATGATGGACTGTCGTTTCTCTTTGCTTATTTGAGCTGTTCTTGCCATAATATGGACTTGGTCTTTTACCAAATAGGGCTATCTTCTCTATACCACCCCTACCTTGTCACAACACAACTGATTGGCTCGCATTAATTCCACAAATTAAAGTTTAACAAGGCATACCTGTTAATTGACCAAAGGACCCCACCTCTTTAAGGAATACCTGGGATAGGATAAAGTAATCCTTCTACCCCCCCCCCCCCCCAAAATTGTAAAGTGGTTATCCCACTGGCTATATGGTGAACGCACCAATTTGTGAGTCGCTCTGGATAGGAGCGTCTGCTAAATGACGTAAATGTGCCCTTGAGCAAGGCACTTAACCCTAATTGCTCCTGTAAGTCGCTCTGGATAAGAGCGTCTGCTAAATGACTAAAATGTAAATGTAAATGTAAATGTAATTGAAATGCATTCCAGGTGACTACCTCATGAAGCTGGTTGAGAGAATGCCAAGCGTGTGCAAAGCTGTCATCAAGGCAAAGGGTGGCAACTTTGAAGAATCTCAAATATAAAATATATTTTGAGTTGTTTAACACTTTTTTGGTTACTACATTATTCAATATGTGTTATTTCATAGTTTTGATGTCTTCACTATTATTCTACAATGTAGAAATAGTCAATATAAAGAAAAACCCTGGAATGAGTAGGTGTGTCCAAACTTTTGAATAGTACTATAAGTTTAAGAGTAGTTTTGACAATCCAGGGTTAGAGTCACTTTCTCATGTCAAAATAGCACAGGGAAACCAGAGAGCGCAGTAAGAGGCCTTTTTGTTGTGAACTTCAGAATATTCATTCCTTAATCTTGGTGTGGTGACTGTTGCTTTACTTGGCGTTCCCTGGTGTTGGTGTCGTGTCTTTCTTTGGTGATATGTATGTAGATTTATGTAGTTTAGTGGGCCTTAAACAGTGTGGCAATGTGTTTGTCTCTGGTTGACTAGCTGGGCAAGAAGGGTTCAGTTTTGTCTGAGGTGGCAATGTATTGCCCAAATACCTCAAAGAAGCCCTCTCATCCCATAGTCCCTTGGCCTTGTTCTCCCTTACGACCTCTTGGCCAAACACTGAAACAACATTCACAGAGCCCCAGAGTCACCTTAATACCTATTGCGTGTGTTTGTGTACCTCTGCCTGTGTGTGTGTGCATATGCGATGTGTGACAATGACTGTATGGTGCATGTGGGCGTGTGTTTGTGTGTATCGACTGTGTGAGTGTGTACTGTGTGTAGCAGTTTCTATGAATGCGCATGTACGTATGTGTATTTGTTCTGTGTATTTGTCCCGTATACTGTACATGTGTTTGTGTGTTCTGTTTTTGTGTCCTACTCAAGCCCCATTCACTGTGATTTCTGTACTCCCCCACCAGGCCTGAACCTATTTACAATGTCATCCACAAACAACCTGGGGACAGCGGGGTCCCCCTGGGTCTCTACAGCAGGGGGGCACCCAGGAACACAGGCTACTGTTCTGGCTAAGGCCCAGTCCCCTCCTCTGGCAGGTACTAACCCAGTGTCATCGCTACGTCCGCTTAGCTAACCTTACTACAGCGCTGTGTTGCCCTACCTTCAACCCCTCGCCACACCTGTATTTGGGCTTGGCAGTAGACTGTGGTGCCTGGAGACGGGTGAAGGGGCGGTAGAGGGGGGATCCCCATGCCAGCGGTTTAGGGACATGTCTCCATTATGAGACTAGAGGAGGAGGACAGATGGCAGCAGATAGAAGAACAAAGGGAAGTAAGGAGGAAGGAGTGCTGTTTGTGCTGACAGAGCTCTCTTGAAAGGGAGGGCCTCCCATCTATGTCTGATAGCTACTTAGAATATGTCTGTGTGTAACAGTCTATACATGTCTTACCTCTCCATGTCTGCTCCTGCATTTAATGTTGGTGGCCATACTCACAGTATACATGTATAAAAGCCTTTACTGTGCTATGTGTCACTGTTGTAATTTAATACAGGTTGATATAACTACAGTGGCTTAGATAATGATCTGCTTTGACTACCTGTCTAAGATGGAAACAACAGAAGCACCCCCTCAAGTCAAGTGTGAACGTGTTCCACTGGTGTTTGTTTAATCCTTTATTTGTATTTCCAGAGTTAACATATTTAATCGGGGTTTTCCCTTCTAACCTCCATTTACTTATTGCAAATGTTTATAAACACCATTTTACATTAAGAGTAAAAAGATACTATGTGCGAATAGTGTTAAATACATTTCAATCAGTCATCAAACTGACCATGTATATGAATTAGAAACAGTAGCATTAGTACAGTCCTGAACTGAGACCAGCCCTAGCCTGAGCCGGCTGAGTGAGAGTTAAAGATGGAGAGAGTTATACCTGCCCTTCACAGAGACACACGTCTCCACAGGACCGCTCGCTGGCACAAGCTGCTCAATTCCATCTGGCAGGAGCTGAGTCTAACCCAGGCCTGAGTCCCCAGCCAAGCCACTGTCATTGTCCTAGCTTCCCTACTGAAAACCTCTATGGCGGATAAATGGACAGAATGTCTGTTAGTGTGTGTCTGTGTTGTTTATGAGTGTGTATTTAATGTAATCTACCTGTCTCTGTTTGTGTTGAGTTTATTTGTTTTATATGTTGTAATGTATTTGTGTTGCGTGTCCACTGTCTGTCCTACCTCCCTCATCAATCACCATGTTGTCATGGATGAATGCCTTTATGTTGCTGGTTGCATGCCACTGTATTTATGATTGTGTAGAGTATGCGTGTCTAATGTATGTCAATGTGCATGGATGCCTGTGTGTGTGTACAGTACATGCCACCAGTGCCAGTGTTTATGTGCATACAATATATGCTTGAATGCAGGTGTGTGTGTGTCCTGGTATCCAGATCTTACTGTGTAGACAGACTGTGGGGGTAAAGTGAACAGACTGTATTAGGAGGTGTAACTGGAGGCTGTCATCTCACACACACACACACACACACACACACACACACACACACACACACACACACACACACACACACACACACACACACACACACACACACACACACAAACACAAACACACAAACACACACACACACACCTCTGCAGCACAGGAATGTTTTGCCTGCTGCTGTCCTTGAGTAAATATAAACACTGGGCCATGGTTTTACCATAAATGTATTGGGAAGTGAGAGGCTAATACGCCACGGGGCAGAAAATGAGGAGCGCCGGACATTCCTGCAACTGTCGGGATTCATCTGCATTCTGGGAAAACCAGGCCATGCACTCAGGTCCACCATCCCCCCCCCACCCCCCACCCCACACACAGGCAGCCCACACTGCCAGCACCAATCACACACACTGATCTACTCAGACATTTCCTCATAATGTGCTGACGCATAGACACACACACATTAATGTAGGCTCCCTCACGATGCAATATAACACACACACACACACACACAAAGACACACATGTTGGTATACAGTACATGCATACCCACCCAGACAACACATAAATCAACACACATGCCCCTGCTCTGTTTTCCAGGGCCTATACAGTATGGGACAGTATGTCATGTCTGCTTCAAACCTAAACAGAGAGACGTTGTCACGGATTACATAATGCTAACAGACTTCCAGTCCAGTCAGACTAGATCAACATCCATATGCATCAGATTCCCTGCTGTCAGATAGGAGAGAGACCTCCCTGCAGCCCAGGAGGATTTGCATAGGGTTTTATTCTCAGGGTTTATTGGAGATTGATTATTCTAGTGTAAAGCGAGGGCTTCCAGAGGAGTGGAGCCCTGTGCCCATCTGCGCCGCCATGCGTCCCCCTCAGTGGTGCTGCAGTCACCTCACAGACACATTCCCCTCTCCATCTGACACTACTACCTCCTCTCTGCATGGTGGAGGATATTCTGGAGACTGAGAACCTATGACACTGGAACCATACGCACATATCTTAGTATACAGTATGTCACTTTTGTTTTTATAGGCTATGTGAACGTTATTTATCTAGGTTAATCTCGTTGAGATATAATATATTTTTTAAATGAGACCTAATGACCAGCGTGGTGTTTGTTTTTGTGTGTGTGCGCATCTGTGCTGACCAATACCACAACCTGAACTGTTTAACTGGCCGCTATCAGAGTATAAAGAATGCTATTGGCCAGGACTGTTTGCCCAGAGACTAGCTACTGTAAACACTACAGGAATCTACAGAGCAGTGCAGCAGGTGAGCTAATCAGTAACTTGGTGTTGTTCTTCCATCGTGAATGCGCTCAACCTTTGACTGGTAAGCTTGGAGAGCATCACAGGGATATATACATATTAGCAGCAAGCCATTCTATGGCCACTGGAAACCATTTATAGACAGGGGAAAGATTAGAACAGGGTAATCATAGTTCAGGATCAGTTGAACGCCCGAGTGAGTCTAAACTGTTAATCATTCATTGCGCCTGGTTTATTCTTAGCCGCTCTGAGAGGCTTGAAATATCTTGAACCGTCTGTCGCCTTTTCCATATCAAATTAGAATGAAATAGGAGGTATAGGAGGAGAGAGAGGCAGTGGCGGTAGAATCCACTGGAGAATGTGAAGGTGAAAACTAGAAGAGGGACAAGAGAGCAGTCTTTCTTTCATCTGTATACGCCAGCCCTGCATGCTATGGGCTTGAGAGAGAGAGAGAGAGAGAGAGAGAGAGAGAGAGAGAGAGAGAGAGAGAGAGAGAGAGAGAGAGAGAGGAGAGAGAGAGAGAGATAGAGAGATATAATAATGTCTCGCGAGATAGAGAGATATATCGTGCGCTAGATATAGGATCTAGCGAGAGCGATCTTATATATATCTATCTAGCTATATATCTCCTAATGTTTAACACTGAGACTTGGTCTGTCTGTGTTTGTGGAAAATGTTGGTCCGCAGTGTCCACCATTAATCAGCCAAGTAGAACCAATTACTGGGCTGAGGAGAGGGAGACCAGAGCAGCACAGTGTTGGGGCAGCACGACCCGCTAAAGCCCACATCTCCATTCAGAGCATTAGTACTGGGCTGCCTCAGCCAAAACACTGAGGGGAGGGGGATGGCTGGTTACAGAGAGGGAGAGGCAAAGAGAGAGCAGGAGAGAGAGAACAAGAGAGACAGGCCCATAGAGAGGCATGGAGAGAGGAGAGGGACAGGCATAGAGAGGCATGGAGAGAGGAGAGAGACAGGCCCATAGAGAGGCATGGAGAGAGGAGAGGGACAGGCATAGAGAGGCATGGAGAGAGGAGAGGGACAGGCATAGAGAGGCATGGAGAGAGGAGAGGGACAGGCATAGAGAGGCATGGAGAGAGGAGAGGGACAGGCATAGAGAGGCATGGAGAGAGGAGAGAGACAGGCCCATAGAGAGGCATGGAGAGAGGAGAGGGACAGGCATAGAGAGTAAAGGTTTTACAGCACCATAACTGTTTACATTCCTGGCGTGGATGAAAAAACAAGGAGGGGAGGAGGGAGAAGAGAGGAAGGGGAGGCAGGTCCCATGATAGGGAGGGAGTGCTTGATCTCTGTGTTCATAACCTTTGGAATTAACTTTTTCACGGAACTGCCCAAGCATTTTTTCTCTGATTTTAGGATTCCATACATGTGCTGGCACAACACACACACACATTTACTTCGAGAGCATCAGCACTCAAATAACTCAAACAAAGCTACATGTCACTTTGGTTATACATATTTTTTCCTCAGTTGTATCCTGTTGTTTTGTTGAAAGTCAAGTTAAATTCAGGAGTTCCTCAGTTTGTTTATTCTATCACAAAAGCAAGGAGCTGCTGGGAGACTGTCTGCCTAATCTCCAGAGGGCTGGGCTGATGGACAGGAAAGCTGGTCTGCTGTTGCTGCATCTGGGCGGGCTGGACTGGGACACCACCGTCAGATGAGAGATGAGGGGCAGCATTTAGTCTGGAGGTCCTCCCAACAACATCCCACTCCCGACGCCTTTTGCTGTGACATACAGCCCTCTGAGCCACACAAGGGAAGCCTGGGCAACAAAATGAGGAAGCTTGGAACGGGGGAACCTACCCTGGCTGTTTCCTGTAGGATGTGGTTGTTCTGTAGAGATGGCTCTGGTCTAGTCTGTCTGGGCGGGTGAGGGTTAAGTCTTGTCCTGTTGCTGATGATGATGATGAGGAGTAGAATGTGACAGCCCAAAGTAGAGCTGTATCCCATCACACAACATCCTGAGATTACGTTTGTACATAGCGAGCCTCAACCAGAGCTCCTCTCACAAGTAGGGCAACAATTGAGAGTGGGGTTAGGGGGAAAGCTAACATCTCCCTGGCTTTGAGGTGTTGCTTGGAGTTGGCATAATAATGTGCCGCAGTCAGTAGCCGCCATGTTTGCAGTGAACATCTCCTCCATGTCGTTTGTGAGAGCTCACCCCAAGCGGCTGAGGAAGCGACTGTCATTCAGGAGCAAACACAGGATCCTCAGGTAACCATGGTGATGCATGTGTCTGAGTTGGAATGGGAGGGACTTTTCAGAATGTTTGGAGTACATGGAGCTCCTCTGGAAGGTCCAATACTGCCTGGTCCGCTGTGCGGGGTACAACGGTCCTCTTGTGTCGCTGCTTGCTGTTATTTGAAGACAAGTCTTTTAACATAATCTCTCATGTGTGCTACTCATGTTTGTTACTCAGTTGTGTATGTAAGGGTTGTCGTTTT